CGCACGATAAGATTGCGTATCGCTCGTTCAAGGAAGGCGATCTCGCCCTTTTCCTGCCAACCCGTAACAACGCGCATCGTCCTTGGGCTGCCTTCAATGTCGGAGCGCCGCACTATTTCCTTCGCGAACAAGACACACATCGATTGGGAGGAAAGGAGTGGCTTGTAGCACGCATATCGAAAGTAGAAGAGCGTGTTGTTGACCTCTCCAAAACCCTGGATGGTCCACCTCGGGCATCGTTAGACGATCGCTCTGTTGCTTCGAGCAATGCAGTGTCGTTTGAAGATGACAACCCCTTTGAGCTTTCCGATGGACTGCGCTGGTACTTGCTGGAAGCCACAGAAGAGAAAGCCATGGCACCCGGCACCCCAGGCATCAAAGGCGCCGTGACTGTCAAGAGCAGTCTTGAAACCGGGCAAGGCGAGATGCAAAAGTCAAAGAAGAAGTCCTTGATGGACCCGGCTACACAACTCGGAAAATCACTCGACAGCCGTCGCAGCAGTGGCACTAGTAAGAAGAGTGCACCTCTAGCAGGCAGAAACAACTCGGCAGAAGCCCTCTCACCAGGCGAGCGCGCCAATTCCACCCCCAACTCAGCCACCGCAACACGAGGAGGAAGCCCAGCCGGCACCCACGGACCGAGCCACCTACGAGAAACAGAGACAAACGGCGCAGAACCAGACAAGACCGCCTACGACGGAAACGGAACCAATGTGCGCGACCTACTCTGGGGACCTTAGGTTTATACTTCCTGTAAATCTAAGCTTCCCCTCTCAAAACCTTCCCCCTCTGGTTGTCCAAACCAACTGACAAAACTTTTCTGCAAACAGGTATCCGTCTCGCAATACCAATCTCCCCGCAAATCCTCCATGCCGACCCTACTATCCAGCCTTCGCTCCATGAATAACTCCCCCGTCGCAAATCGAGCCGCTAGCCCGACTGACACGCGCACGGCGAGTCCAAGTACCAGCACTCCGCGGAGAGAGGCGCATGCACGGAAAAGTAGTATCTGGGATAGCTTTTTTCAGTATGATATTGAGTATCAGGGGAAGACGTCGAAGAAGTAGCCGGGATTGCTGGAAGGGGGGGTGGGAATATATGTATTTATATGTGTGAAGTTTCGGTTTAGGCATGAAGAGGGGGGGTTTCTCTTTCTCTTTTTTTTCTTTTTTTTTACTTTGTTAATATGGCGTATGTGGATTCGCAAGGTGAAAGGGGAATTATGAAGCGTAGTCAGTTAAAGTTCGATGGGCGAAGATGGATATCATGGGGGTGAATTTCTTTCTCTTTTTTTCTTCTTCTTCTTTCTGTTTTTACTAAGTGTATGGGTATGCTTACAATATGGAGGGGGGGGGGATTTCAAGCATCATGAAGCGGGATGTATGCGCCGGCTTGTTTATTCTCTTATGTGTAGTTTATTTATTCTAGAAATCACCAAGTGTGGAGTTTCCATTCGATGAGTTTTGCTGTGTTTTTTACGATGTGTATTTTGGTTTTGTTTTACTAATGTATGTCTCATCATCTTATATACATATCCACTATAAAAACTTACTCTCCTCTTCTTCTTCTTCTTCTTCTTCTTCTTCTTCTTCTTCTTCTTCTTCTTCTTCTGTCTCCCCCCCCCCTCTCCCCTTTTTTTTATTACAACTTAATCTTAACCTACCTTCTATCCTCTCTCTCTCTTCACCTAAGACTTTACTAGTAGATCTTAAATGAAGTACATCTTCTTATTTCATACTTTCCCCCCGATCAAAAAAAAGCCCCACCCATTCCCTATTACTGCTGTTGGAATCAATTAGGACTCGACTTTGAGTCCTACTGATCCGCGACACTGATTGGTCGACACGAGCACTGGCAAAGGCGTCGTCACCGCCTATTGGCCCGTGCGCGGAGGTACTGTAGATACTCAACACGATAACAGATACAATCAATCAATCCGCTTCCTCACTATAGTATTTGCAGCTGCAAGTTGATTCACCACGTGCACCTTTATCGTGCCAACAACTGCTAAAAGTAGTTTTTTTTAAAAAAAAAAACTGGGCGTATAAACGCTATTTGTTTTTAGACAGAAAACGTTGGGTTACTTTCTTCTTATTATTATAGCGGAGAATGGAATCGGAATCGTAGATCAGTGTGTGTGTGAGATGTAAGGAGTACTTTGTACCAACATCTCCCGTATCTAACACATATTTCTAGACTGTCTTGTGTGTACTAAGGTAGTGGGTTAGATGTGAGATTGTGAGATATTAGGCTTAGTAGAGAAAGGGGTATGTAGGAATGTGGGTTTATAGGGAAAAGAGAATAGAATGAAGGAAGGTAAGTAGGGGTGTGGTTTAAACGTTTGAATGTTAGATGGGAAGATTTCTGGAGTGAAGTTATTCTAGGATGAAGGTGAGATGGATGAAAGTCAAAGGTGGTGTGAGTTAGTTGGATAAGAAAAAATATGATAGTCACCACAGAGCCTTAGTAAGATAGATGTAAGTAAAAAAAAACTTAAAACTTCGCCATTCTATTGTAGCTACCAAGGAAGGCTCATGACCAACCATTTGAAGTCGCATGGAATTACAGATTAAGGCTTTCATTAGTGTGCCTTTACTCCGATTTTGCTTAACCGGATTATGTTGTAGGTAACAGTAAAAAAACATGTGTTGCGCTCTAATAGGGCATTGTTGCTCTTTATCCACCCCCAAGAGCCTCATCTCTATTACCGGTTTTCTAACGACTATTTCAACAGGTCCCCTCCCCCCTCCCTATGATCGAAAAGCTGAATGAGATCAATAAAAAAGTCAACTACAGCACTCTTAGTTAAATACATATCGTTGTTATGGGTAGTGCGACCTTGCAAACAAACGATTGTAACGAGATTTTTTTCCTTTTGCATTTCTCCCTTATCTTTTCTCCTACTAATCTCAGAAGGTATGTTTGTTGGTGCTTTGTAATTGGCGATTTTCTACTTTGCATAATAGATAACAATGAGCCAACGGCCCCCCTCCCGGCCCCCCAATCCAATCCAATCCAATCCAATCAACAGATATATTGGGTAATATGTGTTATTTTACTCAATATGCTTGGAAGTCCACGCATGAGGATTGTAGATATACATCGACGACAAGAACACGTACAATAATCTTGTGGGAACAGGCAGGCAAAATGGAGCCCGATAGCTACGAATGAAGGCAGGACTAACATGTACGATAACGAAAACATGGAACACCCCCCATCCATATAGAGTTGTCAACGAAATGCTCTGACTGCGCTTCAAAAGACCAGCACTTTATGGATAAGGGGATGAAAGGTTCTATATAAGGTAGATAAATATCAAGTCAACTTACGAAAGTGTAAAGTTTTCCTTTGCGAATACTATTTTTCCTAACCCTTCCATCACTCCCAGCGTATTAAACCTAGCTCAACATAGAAACTCTCGTACATAACGGATATACCACCACAAAACCTTAGACATGGTACTTTATCTACAACCCCCCTCCCCGCTTCTACCTCCCCCACCCATCCTTCCACCCATCTCTCCCCACAAAAGCAACCACACAACCCTAGCCAAAAGAGACACCTTTGAAAAAAAAAGACTAACCTCGGCCCCTTCACCTTACTCTTCTCTAGAATATCAGGGGGGTACCATGTACTATATACCCTCCATCCACATCCCAACCTCAGATATATTACCCTCCTCCCCCAAAAAGCAAAACCCACACCACCCCCGGACAAACGGAAACCCTCAAAACAAGGTACATAACCTCGGCGCCCCCCCCCCCTCGCCTCACTCTCTACAAAGGGGGTTCAAAGGGATCTACCTTATACCTTTACCCTACACCTCCCACCCCAGCCTCTTCCCCTTCTGCTTCCTATAGTGTATTACTACGGGATCATCCGTATGCGCAAAAAAAAAGCTTGAATCGAACTTCAGCTACGCACTTGTCACACCCCACCCCCACAGCAACATCGCATAGTACGTAGGAGGAGAGTGGAGACAGGAGGAGGGTGGAGATGTGATATCACACCCCCAAGATTAAAGTTTAGCAAGGATGATCTTCTTTTGCAAACTCTTTTCCTGTTTTTTTTTGATAGTGTGCATGTGTTGGGGGGGGGGGGGGGAAGGGAAAAGGGAAAGGTTTACCCAGAGAAGAGAGGAAATGGGGCTTAAAAAAAAGCTTGAATTTTGCGATCTGCGGATTTTTTGGTTTTGTTGAAGAAGGGAGGGGGGAAGGAGGGAGAGAAGGGATGGTACTGGTACTGGTGACTTTTGCATTTGTGGAGTGGGTTTGGTCTGGGAGTGATGGGGCATGGAGATTGAGAAGAGGGGTGGGATTACGTGGGGATGTGTGAATTGAGATTGTCTCGTTGTCACACAGAGCAAGTAGTAGGTAGGGGTAAGGGTTGTGACTGCAGCTGAGTCGTACAGACGTGGGTTGGTTGGATAGGTTGTTTCGACACCTAGCTGTGGCTGAAGGGGGGATTTGTTTGTGTTTCTGTTGCATTACAAGGTACTATGAGTGGTACAACGTAACACAAACCCAATGTCACGAATACGGTTGGCCGCCGGTTCGATGCTGTTCTGCAATGTAACAGAAACCGCAACACTGGAGGGGGGATGTCGTGCGACGCAAATATAGCGGGTCGGCCGAAAACAAGCCTCGCACTTGCAATCTCTTAGCTATGCTTATCCTTTGGACCTTTTTTATTTATTCCGGGGATCGTCACTGACGTGCGTGGACGTGCGTGAAACATTTCTTTCTGGAGCACATACCCTCCGATAAATCAAACTTTACCGTGCGTCGACTTTGGGAAACTTTGTTTATTCCCAGCAACCCTTGACGACGGCAAGAACGTAACAAGCATGCTGATCGCGGGCTGGGCAAGCTTAATGTCACTTTAACTTTTGTTTTTTTTCGGTGCACGAACCGCTTCCCTCTCGTACAACCCGCTGTTTCGTGGTGTTTTTCTTCTTTCAAGGTTCGTCAAAGGCTGCGATCGGCGTTGACGAAGCATCACCAGAACCAAACTTTCAGGACCATCACACAGACTTGAGGTACGAAAAGGAAAATCAAGACGAAAAAGACGCAGGAAAGAGGGGTAAAAAGAAAGCAGAAACGATAATCTGGTTCATTGACGGTGCTTGGTATAGCTTGATTTTGTCCAAGCCTGCACGATAGCTCACCCTTGTTTGCGTGTGTGTGTGTGTGTGTGTGTGTGTGTGTGTGTGTGTGTGTGTGTGTGTGTGTGCGCGAGCATCCGAATTCATAGTCGAGGAAACAAAGGTTCCAAACAGGCAGGTCAAGAAAACTTGAAGGACACTCAACATGACTAATCGAACGATGATCTTGATGATGCGCGTGAGTTGCCATATTTTGGCCGTTCTCGCCGAAACCTTATCCTACTATTGCGGATATCCAAGTTGGGGTAGGAGAGTTGTCAACATCTACTCCTAGGGAAGGTGGTCGCGGCAGCGGGTTGTCATACGATAGGTGTTAGGGGAATAGAGTTTGGGGGGGGGGGGGTGGAGGGAGAGAAATGCTAATCGCGGCAGCATAGAGCAAGAGAAGGTAACACGTAGGGAGGATGTGAAAGGATAACCGCTGCTGGCGTGAAGGATTTCCTTGGCAGACCTCCATCCCGGGGTGATGTGAAGTGTTTGCCTTGGGGATCGAAAATATTTTGCAAGCCATGCGCGGTGACGGCGGCGATCGCGGGCGCGGCGACGACGGCGGAGGAAAGGCAGCAGTGGCGTCGGTTGATATCCGCATGCATGTACGTAACTTTGCACAGATGTACTTACATGCATACATGGCTGTATGTACATATGAGTATGTGTGTGTATGTGTAACACACCCCTCGCCCTTTCCCCTGGCCATTATCCACTCTCGAGTGCCAGTGCGAGCATTTTCACCAAGTACCGGGCCTTGGCAGTGAGCAGGCGACAAGCATGGCTGCAGCTACGTATCCTGGAGCTCCGTCGAAATATGTACAGCTAGAGTAGCCTGCAGCCATGTCCTGTAGTGTAAGTATGACTGCGGGTGGATATCGATAGCGCGGCGAGTGGGCAGAGGAAGACTTGGAAAAAAAAAGGCCGATGACGCGTCCGTGCATTGTGAGGGGGTCTAGAGTGACGCCGAAACAGTGCTGAGGGAGGGTGGAGATGTGGCACAGGTGGTGTGGCTCGGCAGGGTGGCACAAAAGCAGCCATCTAGAGCGCGGCCAGTGGCATGATTTTGTCTTTGCCCGCATTAACTTTGCTTATTACTCCTACACTACTGGCGACGCTGGGCATGGAGTAGCGGCTGTCTGGGTCAATCGCCGTGGATCCGGCGGGCGGAAGCCAAGCCCTCGATGCTTGCTTTGCGGTGTACAAGTCTCTTCCCCTAGGCGATAACTTTGTCCTCTTGGCTCCGCTTGTAGCGGTCAGACAGTTATCGTCGCTGCACTCTCAATATACGGTGTGGACAGTGGGTAGAGCCAGGCCTAGAGTAGAGTAGAGTCGTCAAACACGTAACAAGATGCGAGTAGTGGTTAAAAACAACGGGTTATTTCCAACTAAAAAAAAGCTAGCTTCTAGAACAAAATGTGCACAAACGGATTCCATGCGATTCGTGAAACGGCGTAGCTGGGAGCAACGAGGCCAAACAAGAAGAATAAGCGAACCCTGTGCGGCGACGGCGCCTGTGCTCGTTCCTGTCAGGGAACGCACACCCGTTTGCCCTCGACAGTGTGATTTTGCCTGCATCGCAGCCCAACGCCAAGAATAGACCTCGTAAAAGCCATGCCACAACCAGTAGCGGAGCACATCATCCCTTGCCCGTGCCATGACTGTAAGATGCGCCCATCCAAAATCCATAAAACCCGATCCCCGTCTTTTTCCGTATAAACGCCGGGGGCCGAAATGAAAAACGCCCATGTCCCCGTGGCCGAGACATGCTGATGCGTAACACGCGCATCAGAACAGTGGGTATCCAAAGTATAAACATGAAATCAGAAGGCGCTAGACAATCCAAAAGGTAAAAAAGCAGACGCTGCAAATAAAGAGTGGAGTAGTGGTCGTAGCGGTGGTAATGCTACTTGACCCGGGAGCTGTGGCCAATGCACATGTGATTGTGCCATCGTCATGTTTATCCGGGCCGAGGGCTGGTGCCTGTGTGGCTGTGTGGATCCGGCGGAGAACCGCTTCTTCGCCACGGTCTAGACCTGCGCGCCTTGGCTCTGAGCGGCGCTATCCAGGCTACCACAGGGTAGGAAGAGGAGAGGAGAGGAGAGTAAAGGAAACGAACAAGTGGCTAGCATCAAGTGGCCCAATCACCGGAAGATGCCAGAGATGCGCTTGGTTCGTTGGCGCACACGTGAGAGCATGTTGGCCTTGTGCGTCTCTGCGCCAGCTGGCATGGAGATGGAGGCGTGGCGGACGCTGGAGTAGTCGCTGACTGAAGTGTCGCTGGGGCTTCCACCAGGGTTGCTCTCGTTGTCGTCTTCGCGGACGGCAGGGTATGGGGAGTCGGGCGAGGGGAAGAAGTAGGCATCCAGGCGCGAGTTCATGGCACGGTTCTTCTCTGATGCGGCTGTGACGAGACTGCTCTTGCTGCCTACACTGGTGGCACTGTCGGTGCGGGTGATGTTGTCGAGGCGGATGTCGCGACGGGCTGCGTTGAGTGAGGTAGAGTGTGCACGCGCAAGTCCGGATAGGGATCCAACGGGAGGAGCTGGGCCATCACCAATGAGCTTGTACTCAAACTCAGAAACGTGGCCGTGGCAGTAGGGGCAGTGGTTGCACTTGACCTCCCATCCTGAGATTCCTAGCTTCTTGCCGCATGTGGAGAGGTTGCTAGAAGGAGTGCATGGGCGGACGAGATGGTACCAGCGGTGCTTGCATGGAAGCACTGTAACGCAGAGTTCGGCGACACACATTGTTGCGGTTGCTGCTGTGGTTTAGGTGATGTCGAGATAGATTCTTTTGCGAGCCGGGTTGTGGCGAGACGTTTTGAGAGACGGCAATGTGGTTGTGGAAGTCGTGGTGGCGGAGTGAAAGGTGACGTGCGGAGTGCTGTCACGCGACAAGGACGGTGGCAATCCGGGGTAGAGGCTAGAGGCTAGTGGCCAGTGCTGAGCTGGCAGTGACAATGGGGCGTGGGTGAAGAGGGCTGGGTGAGGGCGGACAGGCGTGTTAATGAGTCTGTCTATGGTGCCGAGAGGAGCAGGCGGCGGGTCCGGTGTTATAAGTGTGTGTAAGGTGGAGGGGGAGAGTGGTGGACAGTGTAGTAATGCCGTGTGCCAAGGACTAGTAGCTGATAGGCCGAAATGGACGATCACCCCTTGCTCGCTTGAAAAGGCAAATTGGGCGGGGCAGGTTGAACGGCGGAATTTAGGACGAACAGGGCCAAAGAGGACGGTGCTTAACACAACCCAGGGCTCGGAGTTGAGGAAATGACAAGAGGGGTTGGCGTCGGCGGCTTGGGAGGATTCGTCTTACCAGACGATAGCGGTGTTGGGTCAAGACGGAGGGTGTGAATGGTGAGGTCAGGCTTTAGTAGCGGATGGGCATGCGTGTTGGGTGTGTGACTGCTGGGACGACGACGACGACACACAGGCAGCGTGCCCTTATTTAACACACACCCATTGCCCACTCCGCTGGGCGGCGGAGCGGGCCAAAGTTTGGACAGGGGGGGTTGTTGTGTATCCAAGGGCGAAGGGTGTGTGTGTGTGTGTGTGTGTGTGTGTGTGTCCATGCCCAAGCCCGGCAACGCTCGTGGTGCTAAACGCAGGCTAGGGTGACATGTCCTTTCACGCCCCATGTCGGTCGCGGCGCCGGGACGCAGCACGCGGCTTGTGCGCTAAGGGAGCACCAACGTGTTGGCCCAAGTCGATCTGTGCCAGAATGCTGGATAATGGTGGACGAACATGTCCATCACGGATACACTTTGCTCACCGCTCCCAGGCAACGAGACGAGCAGCCCTCTCCAAGCTGGCCCTCGAGGCAGCACACTGAGGGCGGCCACGCGATTGGCACTGCTGCCCCTGGTCTCAGCTGAGTCGTCGGGTGCTTTTTTTTTCTCGCTGTCCACACCCGCCCTGACACGGTGCCGGCTCAGACTCGTGTGTGTGACGAATGACCAGGGGCTGCTGGCTGGCTGCTGGCTTGCCTGTGTGTTCGTTTACTTGCTTGCCTGCCCAAGGGACGGACCAAAACGGTTCTGGCTCTGGCGCTGTGATCAGCCCGAGTCGGAGACGTTGGCTCAGTCTGCCATTGATTGATTGATTGATTGACTGATTGATTGTGTTGGCTGTGTTTCTATGTGCGTCATCGCTGGCGTATATTCGCATGTGCGTAAACATGTACTTAGACCCTTGCGCATGTCCGCCTGTACGCCAGCCTGTAGTATGTATACGATCATGGTCGTTTTTTTCTTACTCAATCAATAACTAGCCAGCAGCGCTGCAGCTTTCGGCGCCGGTAGCGAGCGGAAACCCCCTCCTCGCTCGTCACTGAGTTTGCTGATCCACCACATGCCCTGCCCATGCAGCGCTGGATGAAGTCATGCCTCGTGGCCGCACATCTACTCCACATTCCGCTGCTTCCCTCGCCCGCTGAATCATCTCTGCCGGCCAGCGACCGCGGCCAGCGTTTGGCGTAAAAAGGACCAGACGCCAGCGCCAGCGCCAGCGCCACACTGCTATACGCCTCGACGGGCAGGCTCCGCACATGCTGACCGCTGCGTGGTACCAAAAATGCTCCAGGCCAGGCCGCACTTCCATATTGCCATGGTGTGGGCGTATCGTAGGCAGAGTGCTGTCGCTCAACCACACCTGGCGCCAGCGTATGCATCTCTCCGGCAAGACATGGCGAGGGCGCACATGGGCGCACATGGGCGCATACCAGCAGGGCTGGCGATAGTGGGAGCAATCAGCCAGCCCGCCCAATCCAGCAACATGGCCGTTGCACAGACCGCCCCTCCATTTCAGTCTTCAGCCCTGTGGGAAATGCACGCCCCTTTTCTTCCAGAACGCACAAGCACTCGCCGTCGAAACCGCCCTGGAGTAATCTCCTGTTGTTTGCAATGCCGCCCAAGACCAGAGGCCCGTGAAATCCCCCCCTCAGATTGCCATTGTGTCAGGTCCCCCGTGATGCGAGGGTCTTTGTCGGCCCAACTGCACAGCCTCAACGCCTTTATGCGCCGGTTGGCCTCTGTAACTGCTTGCGATTCGCTCCGCTCCTCTCACGCGCTGCTCACGCCTCTTGGCGCCCGTTCTACCTTCCTAGTCCCGCCTTGGCAGCCTCTCCATCCATTCCATCCCAGCCCTAGCACTCCAACCCCGCTCTGCCCGTCAAACACCAACGCCAGCGCATACCTCGACCTGCCACCCCTCGATTGCCGTCTGAAAATCCTCTTGGCCGTGTGCCTTCTCACCCGCAGCGAGGCATTTGTCGACCTATGGCCTCGCCTGGGCGACACCTGTCCACCCCTTCCAACGCCCTCCAAGGCAGCAATCGCTCCCGACACTGTGGTAACAACACCCTCCAAGCTTGACGTTTCGTACCACGCTATCGGGGCCTCTTGTGCCAGCCTTCCCTGTGATGCGTCTCCATTCCTGAGCCAGCAAGCCCACCTACAGTAGAGTTTGTACCTCTGCCACACCATGGTGGTAGTAGTGTGGCCTGACTTCTGCCTCGGGTCCTCATCAAACATGATCCCCGACTTCTCTGATGGTGACATGGCGAGATCAACATGCCACGCTCTCCGACACCCCCCCCCCTGTAAACTTGCCAACTCTCCGCCAACTCTCCATGCACATCAAGCATGATTAAGAATGACACCATCCGCACAAGAAAAGCTTGGCAGATCCTACACACACTCTCTCTCATGTATTCAAACTTATGTAAGAGACGGGTCATGATCTGACCCTAGGGTCGACTAACCAGTAAGCACTTACGCTTCCAAAAATGCAATTCCATATACGCGGCAGGGTCCGGCCTGCACACAACTCGGGAATCCAGCAATCCTCACTTGCCTCGTTTGGACGCGAGGTAGCAATACTAATGGCCAATACCCCAAAAACCAAAAGGTTGCATATGCCCTATGGTTGGTAGCAAAAAGGAATTTCTCCACTCTGGGCCCTCTAGTCAACAACAGTCCTACACCGTCGTTTTCACCTACTCCTCGGCGAAATACGGGTTGCCCATATCACGCTCCACAGCAGAGCAATACTCTACTTCGTTAGCAGCAGGATCATCGCCAACCCCAACCCAAAGCAAGTTTGCATTTGCGTCTTTTTTCATACGGCTCCCCAAGTATCTCAAGCTCGGGCCGCGGTACACCAACACCGAGCCATTGCTTACTCCACGTTCTGTTATCTGCTATTTACCATGGTGGACATGCACAGCCCCGGTGTACCACCCCGCATTCGATTTGTGCGCTGAATCACGTCAAGCGAGGTACAACTTGCAGATAACAACACCTCGGATAATGACGTCTCGGAAAACAATGCCTCGGATAACTGGTGTAGCATTCCGATAGCAGCCTCGCTAAGGTCTATTACTGCACATTTCTGATCCTTCGTTCCAAGGGTTAAGCACCAAGACGGAACGGCACGTTTACTTTTATCAAAGTCTTGGTAACACTGACGGAGACATGTAAGCCACAGCCTGGGCATCACCGATGGAGGTGACACAAATCTTCATCGGAGAATGTGCCAGCAAAAAGGCTATTTCAGGACTCTGTCAGCCTTTGTCTGATTGTTGTGATACCATGCAAGTCATGATAAATCTCAACCGTGCATGAAAATGTTTCTCCATTACAAACAAAGAACAGACAGTAAGCCAGAGGGATTTTTTTGTCGACGAGATACTATACTAGGATGGCGTACCACATACCATCTGACCTGTCTATGCTTGGTGTGCCCGATAATTCGCTCATCCAAATGCGTGCCCAGAAAACTCACTTTTGAAAAGAAAATTCCCTCACTTGGTATACTTCAACCCCATTTTCATTTCGTCATTTTTTTTGATCATCACTGCTATTTACAAACTAGTGAAGCAATCTCAAGACTTTTACTAGATCGGCCGTGACACCCATGGCTGTGACTTCTCCACCAGCGCCAGCACCTTGGATGATCAGTGGGTTGTCGCCATATCGCTTGGTGTAGAAAGCGATGATATTGTCACTGCCCTTTAATGCCGCAATCGGGTGACTCTTGTCAAACTTCTCAAGACCAACCTTGACATTGTTACCCGGCACATCGACGCTTCCGACAAAGCGAATGACCTTGCCTTCCTTTTCCGCATCTGCCTTGAGCTGCTCCATCTGATCGTCAAACTGTGGCAGCTTCTCCAGGAACTCATCGCCGGAAGAGCACGACTCGAGTTCCTTGGGGATGAGTGACTGAACAGGGAATGAAGTCGGCGATTCCACCTTGAGGCCAGCCAGACGGGCGAGAATGGTGAGTTTGCGAGCAACATCCAGTCCATTCAGATCATCGCGCGCATCGGGTTCTGTGTAGCCCTTTTCCTTTGCAGATGTGACTTCGGCGGAGAACTTGCCGCCACCGCCGCCCAGCGGCTGGAACGAGTTGAACAGGAAGCTCATTGTTCCGCTGAAGACACCTTCAATCTTTGTAACCTCGTCGCCCGTCTCCACCAGGTCCTTGAGTGTTGAAATGACGGGCAGCCCAGCGCCGACCGACGACTCGTGGAAGACATAGCCCCCAGCGCCATTGCCGTTGCTGGCAGAGTTGAAGATCTGCGTCCACAGGTCGTAGCTTCCTGAAAATGCCTTCTTGTTCGGTGTGACGATGCTGATGCCCTTCTTCAAGAAGGCGGGATAGCTATCCGCGACATCTTGGCTACTAGTGTTGTCTACCAGGACCACCTTTCCCGGTGCCTTTTGTAGGTATTCGCACAGCTGTGGGAGAGGGAGAGGCGGGCTCGAGGAGTTTTGAAGTTCAGACTCCCAGTTGGAGACAGACCTGTAGTCTGCGTGGTATACAGCCTTCTTAGAGGTGCTGAGCCAGATTAGGGAAAGATAGTATGGCGATGAGGGCGACTGGGAGAGGCGCTTGGAGAGGGCGGATAATTGGGAGAGGAAGGTTTTGCCTACTCCACCAGCACCTGAAATGATGTTAGTGATACATGTTTGAGTATAGAAAGTGAGGTAGCTGACCGATAACGGCGATGAAGACTTGACGAGGAAGAGGCATTGTATATGTGTCTATGTCTGTTTCTGTGGTCAATTGATCTTGCAATTGTACAACGCAACAAAGATATACGAACTTTATTCAAAGTGAGAACGGTTTATGAGTCTTCACAGTATGAGGCTCAGTCAGTTGCGGAACCGCGCATTCATCATTCAAACGTGGGGTTACGCAAAATAATGAGTGGGGTAGCGCGTAGTGACGCAAGAGCTCAGGACTCCACCGCCGACATCGCCTCATCCCTACAACGCGCTCCACACCCCAAACACCGCACACATGTCATCTAAGGACGCCCATCTCTACGGCGCACGCCCAAAAGGACGCGCCAAAGCAAAAGAAATCTCCAGCTCGAGTAGCCTCGCCTTTGCGTCCACACTTTCCAACCTCATCAAGAGCTCGTCTGCCGAATCCAACAAGCCCACCGCCGGCCGCGCGCGACCACAAAAGGAGGACATTTTTAAGACGCACAACAAGAACGTCAAGAAGCGCGCGCTCAAGGACCTCGAAGATGCAGACTTTACACAAAAACACCGCGGCCGCACCGCCGAGGAAAAAGGCGAGGACGAAGTCGCCTGGAAGCGCACAAAGCGGCGAATGGAAGAGAAAGCCCGCCTCTACGACGCCCTCAAGCGCGGCGACGTCGAAGACGTCGACGAAAAATACGGCGTAGATTTCGACCGAAAATGGGCAGACAAGCAAGAAAAAGGCGAAGCCTCCGCTTCAGAGTCCTCCCCTTCAGACGACGACGAAGAGCAAGAACTAGTCGAATACATTGACGAATTCGGGCGCACACGAAAAGGCACACGCGCCGACGCTGCCCGCGAAGAACGCCGCAAACGCACCCTCGCCGCCGATGAACCCGACCGCTTCACCGCGCGCCCCAGCATGCCCGACACCCTCATTTACGGCGACGCCGTGCAAACCCAAGCCTTCAACCCAGACGCCACCATCGCCCAGCAAATGGCCGAGCTAGCCGCCAAACGCGACAAGGAACTCACGCCGCCCCCCGACCTGCATTTCGACGGCCGCGCAGAGGTCCGGCAGCGCGGTATGGGATTCTTCAATTTCTCAAAGGATGAGGAGGAGAGGAAGGAGCAGATGAGGAGGATTGAAAAGGAGAGGGAGGAGACGGAACGCGTTAGACGGGAGAGGGCGAGGAGGGTCGAGGAGAGGAAGGAGATGATTCGGAAGAAGAAGAGGGTCATTTTAGAGAAGAGGAGTAAAGGGCAGGCGGAGAGGTTTTTGGATGAGCTGGGGGCGGAGTTGTTGGGGAAAGATGAGGGTGGGGGTGCGAAGGAGGAGGATGTAAAGGAAAAGGGAGATGCTGCGAAGACTGGAGGTGAGGAAATAGAGGTAAAGAAAGAGGACGCGGCGTAAAGACTGGCTTTTTCTTTTTGGTTTTGTGCTAGATACCATGATACCCAATATCTAAATCTTTCATTTGCAACAATCTCAAAATCAAAGAATATTTTTCTTTCCTCAAACAGGAGAGAGAGAGAGAGAACTATAGATTTCAACAAACTATCTTCTATGCGAACCCCCCCCCCCTCCCTCTCTTCTCTTCTATACACCATTTGAAAAAGATACGAAAGAAAACGCCAATGAATGCACCCTATACTCACGCTCACACCAAAAGGTAGAAGAGTCCTAATAAACTCTCCATTATCTAACACACTCTTCCAGTCCCCCCCCCAAATGTCTAAAAAATTTCCTACCAAAGAGAGAGAGAACAAAAAACGATCACTGCCCCAGCCTCTCTCCCGCACGATTCAACACATCAGCCGTCATCTGAATCGCCTCAGCCGCCCTCTTCCAATCCTTACTCGCAATCGCCTCTCTGGCGTAAGGAAAAACACTAGCCTCGAGCCCATTTTCCAGGTCAGGGGCGAAAAGTACATGTTTGAACTGATCGCGATTCGGCAACTAATCACCACGTTAGCAAAAGTTTCCCACATCCCCCCCCCCCCAAAAAAAAAGAACAGAGAAAAAAAAGGAAGAAAAAAAACTTACACCATGAGCCCCCTTACCCTCCTTCCCACGAGGCAAATCCAAAAAATCACTCTCCAAACCCCCAATCTTAGCATTGTGCCTCACACGCTGCATCGTCACGCCACTAGCTTCAAACCCCCCCGTTGCATAAACCTGATTATACCAGCTCTGCTCCCACGCGCCAAACGCCTCTGTCCTCTTCTTAAACATGCTGAGCGCATCGACCAACGGCTGGAAGATAGCAATATCGTAATCGGCGCCACCGCTGATTTTCTCGGTCCAGTCGAGGAGGGATTGGCCCTGTTCCTGAAGGGCAGAGGCAAAGTCGTCGAGTTTAAGGGGGAGAATGGGTTCTTGGGCGAGTTCGAGGATGAGGAGTAAGGTGAGTTGGGTGAGGAGGGTGTGGTAGGAGAAGGAAGGGTCGATGTATTTGCGCATCC